AGTAATTTCTTTAAAGTGTGCTTGGTTTTTTCCTCAGATCTCTGGCCAGCCCATACTGTGAAGGACCTTCACATTATTTACACTGCTTACCCTATATCATTAAGGCACTTGCCCTTATCTTCATTCTCTTTTGTTTATACTGGTCTCCTCTCAGACCCATGTAAATCAGTGAATTCCTGTCACTTGTTTTCTTAAAAGTATCTATTCTCTGTGAAACTTAACATGCTAATGTAACGAGTGTATGTATGCATTCCTGTTACCTAGCCCACTGATAAGTTTTTCAATAAAAGCCTTGGAACAAAGGGCGATGGGACCTTCCCCACTGGAGGGATGTGCCGCGGCCTTCTCTGGTAAGAGGGAAGTGCCCCCGTCAGCTCTCTCGGCAAACAGAGAAATGTTTGCGATGTTTTGTGTTTACTCCCCTTCATCTGTAAACCCCGGGACCGGCTCTGTGGATTTCAGAGCCCTGCTCCCACCTCAGCTGGTCCCAGCTGGTTTCCCTCAGGTTCAGGGAGCGCTGTGCTCTCTGCGGCGCTCCCCTGTGGCAGAGTGCCCCCTATAGCCGCAGCGCAGTGCGACAGGGTCCAACTTCTTTGAGGCTTTCTGAGCTTTCTGAACTTGCATGTCTATTTCCTTCACCGGATTGGGGAAGTTTTTCCTTCATTATTTTTCAAATAAGTTTTCAATTCTTGCTCTTTTCTTTTCCTTCTGACACCCTTGTGATTTGGATGTTGGAAGGTTTAAACTTGTCCCAGAAGTTCCTAAGCCTGTCCTCATTTTTTGGAATACTTGTGTCTTCATTTTGTTCTGGTTGAATGTTTATTTCTTCCTTCTGCGCCAAATCATTGATTTGAGTCCCAGTTTCCATCCCTTCACTGTCGGTACTCTATATATTTTTCTTTATTTCACTTTGTACAGCCTTCACTTCTTCCTTTATATTGCGACCATACTCACATTTCTGTGACAATCCTGATTACTAGCATTTTGAACTCTGCATCTGATAGGTTGGTTATCTTCTTGTCACTTCTTTTTCTGGAGTTTTGATTTGTTCTTTCATTTGGACCATATTCCTTTGTCTCGGCACACCTGTTATGCTATAAGGGGCAGAGCCTTATGTATTCACCAGAGTAGAGGAACTTATTTTGCTGCAATGTGGCACTGTATGTGGGGGAGGTGTTAGATGGGGAACAGTACCACTTGCATGGCTCTCGCCCTGCTTTCAGTCACTTCCCCAGCAATACAAAAGCAAATTGAACCGTTCTTGTGCTGATATTGGGTGGGTGAGTTTGTGTACATTCTAGGACACTGTGAGTTCCCCCAATGGACTCTCCTGTGAGACTGGGCATTTCTCCTGCCACTACAACCCTTACAGATTTTTACAGCCAGGGGTTTTGAGGCTTTATTTCCCTGTGATGAAACCTTGGGTTGGTCTCGCTCCCCGGTTGTTCCTCCTGGTTTATCTGCAGGTGAATGTGGGACCTCCCAGTCCATTAGCTGCCACATTGCCTTCCCAGTGTGCCAGTCACCGCCTTGCTGCACATCCTCGCTGCCCCAGCTGCTCATCACCTGTGTTGCAACAGTTTGGGGCTGGACAGCTTCATGGGATTGATGCATATGGAAGAACATGCAGGGAGCTGTTGGGATATGTGACATGCCTTTATGCAAGGATGGATGATCCATGCATGCTGCAAGCTGCGTGTCACACTGCATGTCACCTGTCCCCTCTGCTTGGCACCCACTGTGGACCCTTGCATTCTCCCTGTGTGTCTATATCTGTGCTCCCAGTGAGATGCTCCTACCTTCTTAAGTACTAAAACAAACAAAGCAGGCAGGGTGCCAACAGACCTTATGCAACAGAGCTTCATAGTATGCATGTGAGCCCACTCAAAGCTATCGGACCCATACTCAAGACTATGAAACCCAGCCTCAAGGCTATAAGAACACTACTTCCTCAGACCCCTTCAAGGTTGTGAGAAACTGCTTCCTTTAATTACCCAGACACCTGGGTGAGGAAGCCAGACTGCCTCCATTTACCCTACAGCGCCCATCCTGCCAGGCTGGATGAATGTTTCTTCTTTAACTCCTTGGTTGTCGGACTTCCATACAGTTCAGATTCGCTGGCTGTTCTGTTTGGTTTTTGTTTTTAAATTGCTGTTGTCCTTCCTTTGTTTGTGCAGGGGAGCAAAGCATATCTACCCATGCTTCCACCTTGGCTGGAAGTCAGGCTTAATAGTAAATTCAATCCATGAGGTGGTCCCATGATGTAAATCAGCGATCCCCAACCTTTTTGGCACCAAGGACTGCTTTCATGGAAGCCATTTTTTCCATTGATGTGGTTGGGGGAAGATGGTTTCAGGTTGATTCAAGTGCATTACATTTATTGTGTACTTTATTTCTATCATTACTACATTGTACATTGTAATATAAAATTAAATAATTATACAACTCATGATAATGCAAAATAAGTGGGAGCCCTGAGCTTGTTTTTCTGCAACTAGATGGTCCCATCTGGGCATGATGGGAGGCAGTGAAACCTGAAGCATGTTGTGTATGTCCAGTCTACTCTGTAATCTCATTTTGGTTGCTGTCACTGCAGAAAACCCTGCTTGACAAAGATAGAATGTTGGAAATGTAAGCAGGCTCTTCAATGCCTTTGCAGCAATCTCAGGATGTTCTGTTTTGACTTTAATCCAGAATGTATGGAGATTTGAAGTTGTCTCGAACATACTTTTAAGGCCTCTTTCATTGATGATCTCAAGCAGCTGATCCTCTTTAGCACGGACAAAGTCAATTCACCTAGCTTATTCACAAGTGGGTCATGGATCCATTCCTTCCCTATTCGGGGGTCTTTCATGGTCAGAAAGTAACGCTCAAACTCCTGAAAGCTGAGATAAATGGTCATGTACCAGCTGGGAAAAAGAAGGCCCTGGCTCGGTTTCTTTCAAAACCTCTGCTAATGTTTGAAACATCAAAAATGCCAGCGTTCACTTGTCGTCCCCATAATTCCAGTTTAGTTTTGAATGCAGTCACTTTATCTGTGACTTGAACACAGCTGTTTTTCCCCCTGAAGTGGCAAATTGATTTCATTGAGCAGGTTGAGTATGTCACACAAATAAGCAAATTTTGCGACCCGTTCTGTGTCACTGAAACGTGCTGCCAGTGGTGACTGTTTTTCTAAAAGAAATCTCTGGAGCAGCTCTCCTAATTCAAAAACTCTGGCCAGTGGTCTAACTTTAGAAAACCATCTCACTTCTGTGTTTGAGAGGAGACGTGTGTGCTCTGCATGAACAGATGAGCGTTAAGGGCAGGTATTTTAATGTGTTTGATCATTTTAATCACATCCTGCAAAACGTTGTGAAGTTCAGGTACATTTTTCAGCTAGCCAGCATTTTTCTATGGATGACACAGTACATTGACTCACATTCAGAAGCGACTTCTTTGACCTGAATAGCAAAACCATATGGCCACCCAGTCATGGCAATCGCTCCATATGTGCATATACTGACACCAAATGGCCATTTCAGTTTTCCTGATATGTAATCATTCAAAGACTTGAATAGTTCTGCAGCTGTGGTGTTGGTTGGCAACAAAAGTGCACATAACATAACCTCATGCAAATCCTCCTGAAAAATCTATCACACAAAAACAAGTATTGCTGCCTTGTTGTCAACATTGGTAAACTCATCAACCTGGATTGCATATCACAGTGACTCATTAATCCTCTCTAAAAATTGTACCTCAATATCCTCTGCTATTTCTTCAATTCATCTAGTTGCGGTGCTAGCTGAAAGAGGGGGAAATGTTATCTTTGAACTGCAGCCTCTCCTAAAATGTCATGACAAACGTCCTTAGCAGCAGGCAGCATCAGCTCTTCACCAACAGTAAAAGGCTTCTTAGCTTTGGCAATGCAATTAGCCACTAAGAATGATGCTCTCAGTGCAGACACATTTGACAAAGTGGCGGCCTTCAATAATTGCTTCTGTTTTTTGTGTTCACATTTTTTTCTTTGGAAAAACTCCAGGGTCTTGTCTTTTAACTCACGGTGCTTGGTCTCCATGTGGATAAGCAGTTTTGAAGTTTTCTTGGCTTTACTGAATAGCTTGTTCACCACATATTCTAAAACGCGGGCTTGAAGAATGCCAATCACCTGTTGCAATGAACCTGTAATTAAAGTAGGACTCTTGGTATTTTATTTAAATTCAGCTTAATTTTGTTGGCAGTCTTAGACTATCCCACTGTCTCATCAATGGGTCTTTCCCCCTTTTCAAAGAGGCTTTCCAATAATGTTGGTTTTTCACTCATTTTGGCAAGGGTTAGCATGTGGGCTTACCAAAACTGTGAGAGGCTAGTGTGCAGTGCAAGAAAGAGGTGTGGATGGAAGAGGTAAATAAAATAATGGTCAGGCCATGCATGGACTAAACTAATGTTGGATTCTGACTTAATGCCTGCTTCTAGGTGCAGCTGTGCAATCGAAGTACATCAACTCACTTGCCACTTTAAAGCTTGCCAGCAGGTGCAGTTTAATTATCACTTGCCACTCACTGATAGGGTCTTGATATGAGTCAGCACTAGCACCACCACCTTAGCTGCACCTCAGGTCATCAGGCATTAGATTCTCATAAGGAGCACACAGCCTAGAGCCCTTGCATGTACAGTTCACAGTAGGGTTCACACTCCTATGAGTATGTAATGCAACCACTGATCTGACAGGAGGTGGAGCTCAGGTGGTAATTTGAATGATGGGGAGCTGCTGTAAATACAGATGAAGCTTCACTCTCTCACCCACTGCCCACCTCCTGTTGTGTGGCCTGGTCCTAACAGATCCATGGCCCAGGGACTCTGGACCCCTGACAAAGATGACTCAGGAATAGTGATAATGTTTTAAAAAAATCAATACTTAAGTTTGTAAAAGAGTAAAGTGTACTGAAATTCTTAAACTCAAGTATTCCAATCACTTGATCTAATCAGTTTGATTTATTCCACATTATTCAACGAAACAGGACATGAGAGATGATTTTGATCATTACACCAACACCTACCAAATCTATTCTAAGGATCCCAAGAACTGTCAAGAAATCCTTGGCAGGTCAGATGTCATCAACTGGAAACAACATTTACAGATCCAAAGTAAGTAACATCTGGGAGGTGTGTCAGTGGCTGGAATTGCTCGCGTCTATACCTGCCGGGTCACTTTTCATCCCAAGCACACGCTCCTGTTACCTTTACTTCCTTCCACAAAAACCCAGACACTCAAATTGATGTTCATTCCTTGCAGCTGGTGCTACCACCTCTTTTTTTAGTGGAGTAGAATTCAGACATTGCACTTTATGGAGTTAATATGAAAAACTGTGAGTGATATAATTTCTTGCTATCTCGTTATATTTTGCAGTCGTATTCAGGATCTCTTAGGTGATGAAGTGTAAGAGCAGAGCTCACCCTGTGGCCTTCAATTCCAAGGATACGAACAACTCCTCCTTGTGCCCTAAAGCACCTCCCAGGTCACAGGGACCTGGGACCGCCATGGTTATGAGCATGCCCTCCAGAGTCAGCCTCCCTAGGGGGGCATCCTTACTCTGCCAGTTACTTGCATTGTGATCTTGAACAAATGATATAACTTAACCATTATTCAGTTTCCTCATATTAAAGAAAGAGGAAATAAAAGTACGTAACACACAGGGTCAATGTAAGGATCAAATGTGGTATTAGACCAATACCTGGGCATGTCTAATGGGCCCATGTAAGTTTGGCTGCGGTTCTTTGAATTGCACTTCTCCCGTGATTTCACAGTGATATGGTCAGGATTTCTAGTAGTATCTCTGATTTGCATAAAAGAAAACATGCTCAGGCAGTGACACAGCCAAGGTCACGTGCTCATCGACAACACGGGAAACAACATTGCCTGGCTTTAAATCCTGCAAACTTCTACTGGGAAGCTTCTTGTAGCATCTCACTTTTCTCCTTACTTTACCCCTTTCTAGGTTCACAGTCCAGCCTGAATGAAGCCATACAAAAACTTGCAGTTATTAAACAGGTCCAGGTCAAGCAAACACAATGCATCCTCTACATGGAGTCCAAGACGGCAAGAAGACTGCTCCCTTCTCTGCCAGAGACAAACATTAAATTTAGCAAAGTCAAAGCCCTGTGAGTCTGAAAAAAGATGCTCTCACTACTCACATCTTTCACTACTTCCCTCCCTACATTCATTCTTGCCTCCCTGCAATCCATTTCCAGAGTGATTCTTTTATTGTAATAGGTAACCTGGACCATATCCGTTCATCCACTGGAAAGCTATTGCTGTTTCTCAGCTGGACTTTCAAGGTCCTGCAAGGCCCGGCATTTATCACCTCTCAAACTTCATCTTGTCTGTCCTGCTTACTCCAACCAGTGGCTCTGTTCTTTCTGCAACTTCATCTCATAGACTCACACATGCCTTTGGGCCATTGCATTTGTTCTTTGTCTACCTAAATGCCCCTCCCTATAATCTTCACATATTTGCCTTTTTTTTTTTACATTTATACCCTTAAATGTCATTTTCTTAGAGAATTCTCAGAGCACCATGTCTAAAACCACCTTCTGACATATTCTTCATCACATAATCCAATTTTTATTTTCTTTGTTGGACTTATCATAATCTGAAATAGCTTTCTTTGTGTATTTACATGCCTGTTGCTTCATCCTCTTCTGTGATATTTCAAACTTCACAAGAGCAGGTGCCCTTTTTATGTTGTTCATTGGTAGATCATCAGTAGTGAGAACACAGCACATACTAGATGCTTGATAAACACTCATGTGATGAATTCACAGTGCATAAGTTTTCCATTCATGATAACTTAAGCAAATTCTGACTTTCAGTCCAACACTGAGTATAACTGAGCAGTGATGGTGGAGATCTCATCTGGAGATGCCCAATTGCATGGCTGCCCTTCTGTGTGTCAATAAGCATAGAAAAGCTTTATTCACATTGCATCACATATTACACCTGAAAGACATCTCCAAATGTATAATCTCATTGGATTGTCTTGTTTTTCCCATGAGATACACAAGGTAGGAGATATTATCTGTCTTTATCTGACAGAAAATAGGGTCAGATGTGGAAATAGCTTGTTCAGGTCACCTGAAACCATAACTGGGGATTGAGTCTCAATTTCCAGTTCTATATTGTGGGCTCTTTCCAGGACACTTACTGAAGCCCCTTTACACCACAGCAGACGCCTTCAGGCTTTGATGACCTGTACCTGGGGTGCCGCCTGCACTCCATATCACTGTCCCTCTGTGGACTGGGGCCTCCCCGCAGTGACCAAGGGCCCCCTCCCACCAACATTCAAAGAGTCCATGATTGTCAGCTCTGGTTTTGCACATTGCTAGCATGTGCTTTGGGACCCTTGTTTATTTTCTGTTTACCTGTTTTTCTTATCTGCAAAACAGGGGTGATAGCAATTACCTCATCTTAAGTGGAATGTCACAGCAATGTCCAGAAGAACAATACTTAATTTTTATGTAATTCTTATTGTTCATGGGACATAAGTCCTATACTTAAGCAATATCTCATGTAATATTCATAACCTGCCATTCAATGAGGATGCTATTAATATTCCTGTTCTACAAAGGTAAAAATGGAGGCAGAGAGACAGTGTGTTGCCTGCTCAGGATTGCACAGCTAGTCAGATTATGCTTCCAGGACTGCTGGCTGCAGGGTCTATACCTTTACCTCTGCTCTTATTCGCATTGTCTAAACACAATTTGAGGGAAAATAAACGTAGTACTCCAAATGCATGTGATATAATTGGCTCTTCTCCCTTGTTTCCAACAGCAACAAAGACATGTTTCAAATCTCATCCCTCAATGTTGCCCATGCTGCTCTGGTGAATGAATTCTGGCATTTTGGTGGCAATGAGAGGAGCCAGAGATTCATCGAGCGCTGCATCCAGAACTTCCCCACGTCTTGTCTGCTGGGGCCTGAGGGGAACCCTGTGTCCTGGGGCCTAATGGACCAGACGGGAGAGATGCGGATGGGAGCCACCATACCTGAGTACCGAGGCCAGGGTCTCATTTTCTATGCCATGTCTGCTGTTTTTGAGATTCTGGGGAAACGAGGCTTCCCAATATATTACCATACAGACAAAGCCAACAATATCATACAGAAAGTCAGTGATAATCTGTCCTGTATCCTCATGCCTTGTGACTGGAACCAGTGGAAATGTGTGCCTCTGTGAAGCACCCCTGAATACAAGACAATGTTGGGTGGGCTGGTCATTTAGCAAGAGGAACATTAGGGTGGAAGGAGAGAAAAAAATAAATGATGACCATCATTAAAGCAGTTCATTTTATTTGGGCTCTTGGGGAGTGTGTACGGTCATAGGACTGACAATGCCCCTGCTAGCAAATGGAGTACAACAGTATGTTAAAAATCATCACAGTCAAGTGGGGTTTATTCCAGGGACACAAGGATGCATCAACATGCACAAATCAATCAAGGTAATACACCAAATTAACAAAACAAAAGATAAAAACCATATGATCTTATCAATAGATGCAGAAAAATCATTTGATAATTATATCCATTTATGATTAAAAACTCAATAAAATGTGCATAGAAGGGAAGTATCTCAACATAATAAAGACCATATATGAAAACCCCTCGGTCAATATCGTACTCAATGGTGAAAAATGGAAAGCTTTTCCTCTAAAGTCAGGAACAAGACAAGGAGGCCCACTCTCACCACTCTTGTTCAACAAAGTTCTGGAAGTCCTAACCAGAGCAGTCGGGCAAGAGAAAGAAATAAAAGACATCTAGATTGGGAAAGAAGAAGGAAAAGTATCAATTTTTGCAGATGATATGATTCTGTATATATAAGAAACCCTAAAGACTGCACCAAAAAACTATTAGAAACAATTTTAAAAATATAGTAAAGGTGCAGGATACAAAATTCATGTACAAAAATCCTCTGCTTTCCTGTATACCAACAATGAAAATTCATAAAAATAAATGAAAAAACAATTCCTTTTGCACTTGCAACCAACCAACCAAACAAACAAACAAAAAAATCCCCTAGGAATAAACTTAACAAATGATGTGAAGGACCTGTATACTGAAAACTACAAAGTATTAATAAAGGGATTTAAAAAGACAGAGTGAACTGGAACAATATTGTGCATTCATGAATTCTAAGAATCAAGATGGTTAAAATGGCCAAATTACTCAAAGTCATATACAAATCTAATGTACTCCTAATCAAATTTCCAAAATCAGTTTTTAAAGAAATAGAACAAAAAATCACCAGATTTGTATAGAATCACAAAAGACCTCGAATAGCCAAAGCAATACTGAGAAAAAAGAACAAAGCCAGATGTATCACTACCTGACTTCAAATTATACTACAAAGCTACAATAATCAAAATATTATAGTACTGGCAGAAAAACAGACACACAGACAAATGGAACAGAACTGACAGACCAGAAATAAAACTACAAGAATATAAGCAAATAACTTTTGACAAAGGAGCCAAAAACACACAATGGAGAAAAAAGTCCTCTTCAAAAAATGGTACTGGGAGATTTGAAATACCACATGAAAGATAATGAAACTAGATTACAGTTTGTCCCCTTGTACAAGAATTAATGCAAAATGGATCAAAGACCTAAATATAATACCTAAAACAATAAAGCACATATGAGAAAACATAGGCACTAACTTACAGACCTTGGTTAGAGAGAGCATTTTATGAATTTGACCTCAAAGGCAAGAAAAGTAAAGGAAAAAAAAATGAACAAGAGAAGATAATTGCAAACAAATGCTCTGACAATGCGTTAATACCCAAAATATATAAAGAGCTCATACAACTCAACATCAAACAAACAAACAATCCAATTAAAAAATGGGCTGAGGACCTGAACACTGTTGGACCCTCATTCACTGCTGGTAGGAATACAAACTAGTACAGCCACTATGAAAAACAGTACAGCATTTCCTCAAAAAATTAATAATAGGGTTATCATATGACCCAGCAATCCTCTTCTGGGTGTCTACCTGAAAAACTCAGAAGCATTTATTCATGCAGATATATGCAGTAATATGTTTGTTGCAACATTATTCACAGTGGCCAAGACATAGAGACAACAAAAGTGTCTTTCAATAGAGAGATGAATAAAGAAGACTTAGTACCTCTATATTATGGAATATTACTCAGCTATAAGAAAAGATGAAATACTACCATTTGAGACAACATGAATGGGCCTGAGAATATTAGGCTAAGCAAAATAAGTCAGGCAGAAAGAGCTAAGAACTATATGATTCCACTCGTATGTGGGATATAAAACTGAAACTCATGGACAACAGCATGGTGATTACCAGAGGGAAGGGGGTGGGGGGTAGCAAGGGCAAAATACACGAGGACAGAAGATGATTTGACTTAGGCTGATGGGTATACAATGTCATATAAAGATCATGTATCATAGAAATGTACACTTGAAACCTATATGATCCTATTAACCAATGTCACCCCAATAAATTTAATAAATAACAATAAAAGAAATGCTAGTTAGTCTCAAACGGGAAGCATGAGGTTACTCTCCTCATGGAGAAACATGAACTTGATGCTCATATGTGGTTAAGCTAAATAATGACTCCCAGTGATATCCAGGTGCCAATCCTTAGAAGCTCTGATTGTTAAATTATATGACTTTACAGCGGTGACTAAGTTAGGCATTTTGACATGAGGAGGTTATCCTGGATTGTAAGTAACCCAAGTGGGCCCTAAGTGTGATCACAAGTGTCCTAGGAAGAGGGAGGAAGGAAGACCTGAATACAGAAAAGAAGGGTAAGTGAAGTGGATGGAAATAGAGGGAGAAAAGGTCGTGTGACGCAGGACCCCCGGTCAGGGCATGAGGACAGCCTGTACACGCTGGAGAAGATGAGGAAACGGATTCTTCCTGAAGAACCTCCAGAAAAAACAGGCTGTGCTGGCACTTTGATTTTTATCCCATAAGACTTTTTTTTAGATTTCAGACTACTATAAATATAAGGCAATACATTTGTGTTGCTTTAAGCCACCAAGTGTATGGTAATGTTTTACAACAACAGGAAAATAATACCACATAGATATGAAAACAATATTGAAAATATGAAGTCACACAACTCAAACTACCAAACCCTGTGATAAAGAGCTAGTCAGAAAACCAAACTGTCACTGACAGCCACATACATTAATTCAGGAGAGCGTCTTAAAGCTCTTTAGAAGACACCCAGGACCAAAAGAAATGATGCTGAGTGAAAGACACACCTTTGAAAGATCCTTTGCAAAACTTTGTAAGAGGAAAGGGAGGATACCAGAGGAGACACTTTTCAGAGCGACTTTTTATTGTCAAACACAGAAGCATAAAAAAAGCAGGATTCCTTTCACAAAAGACATCCTCTTCAAAGAAGAAAATATTGCTTTTAAAAGGTTCTCTTGGCACTAATGATTGACATGGGGCAGTTTTAATTCTGAAATGTCTGTCACCACAGAGGAAAAGTATGGCATCAAAGGGTCAAGTTTCTAATTTTCTATAATATGAATGAGAAGGAAAACTAAAGTATTACATAAGGATGGGCTAAAGCAATGCATGCACCCCAGATAATTGGATGCTTTTTTGTGTTTGTACTGGTGTATTTTCACTGATAAGAAAGGCTTGAAATGGACAATGGCACCAATCAGCAATATTTCTTGGGGATGCACTTCCACTGATGCCAACCACAAGGATGACTCTTAAGTCCAAAATTTATCCATTTCTGTACAATAACTTCATACATACTTGCCACATGAAAATAACATGGATTTTTTTTCTGAGTAAGATACTCTGCCACTTGGACATAAATTTGCCACATGTTGCCTTTTTTGCGATATTCGGGGGCCGTATAGCCCATCCTCAGCTCACAGGACTGTTCCATCACAATCCAAGAAATAGGGAGCCCCTCTGGACACAGCAGACCAAATGATGGGAAATTCTGGAGGCAGCGTTCAACGTATTTCAAGCTCCTCTCATTTTTTCCAAAGTTCCACTTCTCATTCACAAGCCTTGCATATGAAGTATCCAAGATGATGTTTGAAAACTTTCCCTCCCTGTCAAAAAAAAAAAAAAAAAAAGAAGAAGAACATTCATTCAGCCAACTCTTACCAAACACTAGAGTTGCAGAAAATGAATATGACACCATTCCTTTTCTTGAGGCTCCCACAGCCTGGAGGGGGAAACAGATGCACCCCCAAAAGTGTTATATTTATGTCTGCTTTAAAATCTCCCCAAATAATCAAGAAGGAGGAAATCCTAATAGCTTTATGATGCAGAAAGTACATCCCCCCCCCCCAAAAAAAAGCAGTCCAAGGAAATACCCCAAGGAAGAGAAGATGTGCTGAGTTTTCTTTGAAGGTCCACATGTGAAACACATGGGCTCTAAATTCTACTCCACAAAGTATCTAAATACACAAGATATGTCTTTTAACAGATATTTCAATAAAATATATGTGACAGGAAGATGAGAGCAATGTTAGTCTTACAGCTTCACGTATCCTAAAACCCATCACCACACGCCTCTAGGGAAGTACCAAAAGGGCTATTTAAGAAGCACTGATACACGTAGGAAAATTGGATTTCGTGGTGGGAACAATCAGGATTTTAATCCTCATTCCGCCCTTGGATAAATTGTCTGAGACTGAGTTTTCTCATCTGCAAAATCAGAATAACACCCTCTATGGGTAGGGGAGGTTGGGGCAGGTGGAAGATCCCAAAGAAGTTTTTGCTCCTCCCCAGAGAGAAAACATTCTCAGGAACTTGCCAGTTTTGAAGTTGCTCTCTGTTTGCTAGTGGGTGAGGTCACTGAGCACTAACTTCTGTGCACGCGGATGAGGCTTTCTTTTGCTCTCTTCCATGCCTGACCCCGTCCTAGTCCTTCCTCAACAGTCTCATGCATTGTCACCTGCCCTCCCCCGGTGGGATAGCTGTGCATTTAGGCTCAGAGGAAAGAAACATCTTAGGACAAGTTCTTCAGTCCAGATCGCCAGCGTTATAATATTAAGTATATTCACTCTTCATTTACCATTTTCCCCTGTTTATCTTAAGATTCTCATGGAAATACAGCTGGTCCAAAGCACGATTTGAATGTTGTTTGCTCTGAGCTACATCAATTGCATGTGTGAGTGGGTGTTTAGATTTTAGTTATTCTTTTGAATTAGTAATACACAACTGTAAAGCATAAATTGATATTAACCAAGAATAATTACGTCGTTCTCTGACCCCCTATTACCCAATTATCTTCTCTAGCAGCAACTGGTGATGCAATATATTTATGTAATCTTCTAGAGGAACTCTGTGCAATTCTAGATGGGTACATGCTGTGATAGCATACAATGTACAGTGTTCTGTCTATCTTATTTGTTTCTTTTTTTTTGCTTAGCAATATATTTTGGAATTTTTATCAATTCATATAGAGTTGCTTCTTTCTTGCTAATGGTTGCATATCATTCCATTGTTTGGATTATACCTTAATGAATTTATCCATGCCCCTACTCATGGACACTTAGGTTGTTTCATATGTTATGCTATCACATATTATATTAATCAAAGTTTCTTACCATCTAATTTGGTGATATTTTCACTTAATATACATATTTTTGACCCTACTATTTAAATTCTAGGAATCAATCTTTCAGAAATATTTATACAAATTGTGCCATGATCTACTTATGAAGACATTTATAACAGAATTTTTGTGTTAATAAGGGAATATATAAGTATGTATCTCCCTATTATAGAAATCTATGCAGCTACCAAAATAAATGCAAAGTATCCATGTGAGCTTACATAAAAAAATGTATATATAACATATTGCTGAGTGAAAAAAGCAAGCTGCAGTACAGTATGCATGTATGTTATTTAAAAAAAGAACAAAAATGAGGGAGCCGTGAGAGCAGGGTCAAAGCTGAGGATAAGGGAGGAACTAATACCAAGAAAAACATATCAGGGTGCAGCCCCCATGCAGCTGGGCCAGAGTCGACAAGAATGAGGAGGAGGCATAGGGCAACGGTTGAGCCTTGCCTCAGATAAACATCCTGACCAGAGAAAGACAGAAGAGGGGGGGCCCAGTAACAGCCTTGAACCCAATCAGCAGAAAAGAAGCTGCCTAAAGTAGCCTATCGCTAACTGCCACTTCTCGCCCTTGTACCCTGCTTGCTTGCTCCGCTTATGTATAAAAACCCTAGTGCCTTAGCAGCGGCGCGCCCTTCGTAGGTGGAGGGTCTGCTCCTGCGCAGGTAAAATTTGGCCAAACAATAAAGTGTGTGTGATAAAACTCTGAATTCTGAGCTCTTACTTGCTGGGATTGTAACAAAAAACACACATAGTACTAAAAGCATATACACCAATATTAAGAATATTTATACCTAGACAGGAAAATTGTGGGTAATCGAAGTGTGCAAACTTTTACCTCTTACTTTGAATATTTGTATATTGTATATAGCATTGTAGCATTTTTGCAAAATTCAGTAAAGATTTTTCAGTGCCACCATGAAGTCCAGTGCCTTCTCAGGAATTCTCTTGTGAGACCTGAGTAAGTTAATATATGTAAATTACCTCATCCAATGAAAGCCCTAGCCATGCTCAGTAAACAAAGTTCTCTTCTTTTATCCATGCAACCATGTACCTCATCATAATTTAGTCTTAAATCCTGTATTTCCAAGTCTGGCCCTTATGGCAACTTAATGATTCTGTTTGAGAAGAATAAAAGTAAAACCTCACCTTCTAGCTCCATTCTCTTTGGATTGTTTAAATATCTGTGTCATATCCTCCTTGCCATCACTTGACGTCTCGCGTTTCCCTGGTATTTGTAGTGAAAAGAGTATGGTCTTCGTGTAATCCACCTGCACTGATTTTGAAGCTGAAATCTTTCTTATTGCCTCACCCAGGTTCTCTTGGCAACCTGGAGGGAGGAGAAAGACAGGCTCTGTATCACCGTCCATGTCTGCTGTGAATAAACTAGGGGGTCTTTGCCTTTTAACTCAAACCAATTACCTTGGATCTGGAAGACTTGTTCCCAGTTGATAACCTGGGGGCATGCCAGGACTTCCTCTAAGTTGTCAGGAGCTTTGGTGAAGATGTGGTAAGTATTGGTATAATGATCCAGATCATTGTTCATCTCCTGACATAACAAACATCAATCACATTTACATTGCACTATAATTTACCAAATGTTCTTGCATATGTCTGCAGTGCTAGACTCGATTGTTTGATATGCTCTTTTTCTGAGAGAGGTACATAAAATGGCTTTGCCATTCTTTGACACACTGAAGGTGTTTCCTCTCTGATGATGCGCTAAAGTCAGCTGTCCTGGGGAGAGTGAGTAAATAGCTCCATTCTCTGGGATGGAAGGGGCACCAGGACTCATTAAGGATCTAAAAGAGAGAGTGCTTCCAGCATAGAAAGTAGTATGAGGAACAGGGTTGGGGGGTCAACATTCTGGGACTGTGAAGAGGTGATGACTAAGCTAATTCTGACCCACCACTCTGGGGTGACTGACTCTTGATGTAAATGTGAATAAAGAGGACTTTGAGAAAGATCCATCATGCTAGAGCACACAAAATCACCTGGAGTTCAAGGCCAAGACTGTCACTTCCTACCTGCTATCTTTCTGCTATTGACACTCTCCTGGGGATCCTGCGTGTTAATCGTAGGTGCTATTGTTTTCTAATTCCCCTGATTACTATGTAAATAGAGGGAGGGTAAAATATACCTACTCTGGGATGAAAAAGATTCACTGCTTATACCTCCTAAACTTGGAAGATGGGGAAGACATTCTTATTAAATATACATGATTTGTCTATTGTTTAACAATTCTCTCACATGCGAGGGGAACCCAAAAAAACAGAATTGTCTTCTGGAGGACAAGCCTCTTCTAGTACAGGCTTCCCCTGCTAGGTGAGTATTCTAGGAACCCATCTATATCAGTGTACCCACTGGCGTTGTTGAGAGAGGCTGTGTTCACCTTTAGTGAATTTTTCTGAAGACTCTTTCAACACATTTGCCCATTTCATGATGGATGATTTATGAGCGCACCTGCCTACCCCATGCTGAGTGTTCAGCAGTTTTTAACCAAAAAGTGAATGACCCCCCATGCCCCACCCTTCCTATTCACCTGATCTTGCCCTGAGCAACTTTTTTTGTTTGTTACCCCAGATGGAAAAAGTCCTCAAAGGGAAACATTTTGCTGATGTGGAGGAAGTGAAACAAAAAATGACAGAAACTCTAAAAGGCATCAAAACTGATGAGTTCAAAAACTGTTTTCGAGCAGTGGAAAAAATGTTTCAATAGGTGTATTGCATGAAATGGAGAGTGCTGGTATTTTGAAGGGGACTGAAGTTTAAACATGTAAGGATAAATACACATTTTTTAATAAATAAATTCTGGGGTTTTGGGGTCCCCCCTTGTAGTAATTTTATCAATCTCACTTTTCATAGCTAAGAGAGCAGTCACCTTCCCAAGGTCACACAACTAGTCACTTGGCAGGTTCAGATCTCAAACCCAACACTGACTCAAATATTATTGGATTATGTTCAATTAGTCATAGAGAAAGAAAGACATTTTCTAACCACGTCTAGTCATAGGTGTCTGTGCTGAGGTGTATGCCTGTGACCAGAAGCTTAATGGAAAAGAATTGACTAGATGGGATCCTCATGTTATTTACAAGGCATGGACTATTAGCTATTTGGGTTACTCCCATGCCTTATCTCACCATCCTACCTTCTCCCCCAAGCAGTCTTTCCAAAACCTATATGAATCAGGGGTGCCACGGTTCTTCTCCCCAGCCCCCACTTTCAGTTCCTTGATTCCCACACAGAGAATATCCGGAGCATGACTGGCCTTGTATTGGAGGTCTCACCTCTTTCTTAGGCCGAGTAATAACTATCTGATAATCTGGCCAGGCATCCACGAGCACCTCCAGGTTGAATGGGTTTTTATTTATAATGTGGAAAATGGCACCATACACCTACAAGGGCAACAGAACAAAACAGGAGAGGATGAAGTGTGTCTTCAAGATGAGGTCTTGGATGTGGTATGGGAAATAAAACCAGGAGGAGGTAGGAAGATTGGACAGGCTAGAACTAGGGCTCCCAGAATGGTTCATTGGACCATTTATTGGAAAGTATGCTGTGAAATGGTCCAGCGAGGGTCCACAAAAAATCCAAGCCAATAGCTGAATCATTAGGAGCTACGTCCCATGACATTCATTCATTCATTTTTTAAAAATTCATACCATTTTTCCCATTTTAAAATGTTATAACATATCATCTATTTGGCATCTATTATATATCAGTTGTATTTCAAGTATAGAGAATTCAAAGGTGAATTCAAAAGCAAATTCTAGAAGGATAGAGAAATACACAGTCTGATCATAACGGGACACACGTTCTGATGAATGTATGCGTGTGGTTGTGTGGAGGAAGTGGTGGGTGACTGACAGGAGGCATCACATTTGAACTGGTGATTCTTGTAGGATAAGTAAAGTTTTTCCCTGGCAAAATAGAGAGAAGCAGGGCAAGTAATTTCAGGTAGGAAAAAAAGCATGAATAAATGCTTGAATGAGTAACAGATTGTATCATACATCATACCTGCTGAACTGTGAGGGGCTCAATAATTGTAGCATGTAGCACATGGCAGAGGAATGTTGGGAGATGGAGTAGAAGGGGCTGGGATGTTTTTAATAAGCCTTTGTATCCCCAGTTAAGTGTTGTCGACTTTATGCTGTGGACCTCTACTGCACTTTTAAAACAAGGGAGTAATATAATTATATTTTTTCTGATAAATGACTCTGGTCACCAAGTTGCAGGTGGGATGGTAATATTGAAAACAGGGAGATATTGCAATAGCTTAGAGCAAACAAAGGAATTTCATTAGAGATAGCATAGAGTGGAGTCAAAAGATGTTTAAAAGGAAAAAAAAAAAAAGAAGTGAAGGAGGCCAGTAGATATGGGTATTGATGTCATCCCTGGAGGAGTAATCCCACTTTAAACTTGTGCTTCCATCTGCCCTGGAAAGGTTCTGAGCCCTGAAGCTATCCTCCTCACTCAGAAGCCCTCTCTCTCCCCATATCACCCTTCCTCCCTCACCTTATAGGACTCAGGGATGTTTTTTTCCAAAGATTCATACAAATGCTGCAGCTTCTGGGGCTCTTTGATCACAAACATTCCGTGTAGCACCTTGGTCCCCTTCACTCAGGAAGATGATCTAAGGAAATAAACATATTAACAAAAATACCTGGAGAGATGTGATAGGGGTCCAGGAAGAAGAAGTCACCTAGGAGACCATACGCTGTCAGAGGTAAAGGGCTTAAGAAATTATCTAGCCCAAACCTTCATTTTACAAGTGAGAAACTAAAGCCCAGAGCTGCAACTGGACCCCAGGGCCCCTTGGTGATTTCTCTACAATTCCAAAATAAGAAGTACCATTAACATATCTCGTGACACAAATCTCCACAAGCCCATTTGATTCAAATCAGGACAAGAACCTGAGAGGTGAATGTCTTGAGCTGTTCAGATGCAAATGAAGAATAATGCATCTCTTCAGAAGCTGTCCCTAAGGATCCCCAAGTCCCCTAGGCATTGAAACACCCATGCTCCAACATTGCTATAGCATCAGTAATATTTTTCAGCCATCATGAAATAATAAGATCTTCTGGAAAAGATCCTGAAGAGCATATTGTGTGTAGTCCTTTTTTCCCAAGGAACAAAATCATAGGAGGGAAAATTGTTGATTAGTGATGATACTATCCAAGTATAAATTGGCAAAATCTACAAATTATATCCTAGCAACCTTAAAAACAAAGCAAACACTTCTAATCAATAATTCCACTTCTAGAAACTCATCCCAAGAAAGAAAATGATAGATATTGATAAAGGTATAAACACAAAGAAAAGAAACCAACAGAGACAAAAGGGAAGGAGGGAGAGGTGGGCCGGGGAAAAGGAAAGGGAAGAGGAAAGTCAAGGAACATAAAGCAAGGATTCATGGGCAGAACCAAAGGGGAAGGATGGAGGGAGGGAGAGGGGGGAGGGGTCAAGGGAAAGTGGTGGGGGGAAGGCAGAGACAAATGTATTTGAAATAATAAATAAATTTTTAAAAATTAAACAATAAAAAATGGTATATTCCAGAGAAAACCCACAAGGAAATCCATTGTAGTGTTAACGACATAGTAAGTTTACAAATAATACAACATTTATCATAAAGAAATGGTTAAGTTAATGACAGTATAACTAAATAATGGGTTACCTTGTTGCCATTAAAATGGTGTCTTCAAAGTGTGTTAATGACATAGGAAAAGTCCAAGTTATAAAGTCAAGAAAATATATGATATAATCCCAAATTAGTAATATAAAAATGGATAGATGAATAGTTATCTGTGTATATGTATGTGTTTGTACAATTAATTCAAATTTTTTCTGAAGCAAAGTAGTATATACTTTTTTCTAACATTATACACATAAATATATGACTATATATAATTATATTATATATTTATATTACATATAATGATCAAGGTATATATGATACTTAAAGACCTTACATAATAGTAACTATATCTTTAAAACCCCACAAATACAAAAAACTCAAAGCAATTCTGATGGCTTCATTTTTTTTCAATCATGATAATCCTGGAAAATCCAGCATCAGTGCACATGTCTGCATAAGTGTGTATGTGTATGTATAGCCAAACCATAGGTCCAGAGCAAGCCAATACGTTTCCTGAGTATGCTAACCAAATGGTAGATAATTCTCCTCATTCTTCAGGCCCTTTGTAGCATATTTTCCAAGAAGAGTATCATTTACTGAGAAAGTAGGATCATGTCTTATTCTTCTTTATAGCTCAAGCATCAAGCCTTGGCATAAGATAGATAGACATTAATGAACTTCTGTTCAGTGAATGAATGAATGGAATCAGTGAAGCATAGAGAGGGAGCCCTTGGGATATTTTCTTTGTTTTGATTCCAGACTTAGTCAAGTTTGTAAGGAAACTGTGGCTGCTGATAGAAACTTTCAGATAAGAAAATGTCTACCTGTAGGTTGTTCTGAGCACCTACTGGTATGAGATATATAAGATGTAGAGGGATGCATTGAAAAAGGATGGGAGCAAGGCTGTGCATAGCTTTTGTTTTCCGCTGCCATGGGCCAATATCCATAGCAATGCTCTTCCCCCTCTCTGCCATATTATAGACACTACCCTCCATGGCAGGACCCTGGCTCAGCTCCCACCAATTAGGATAATTTATTTCTAACTCAACCTGGAGCCTTCTGGGAGAATTTTTCTGGACTAATCTGATCCAATAAACACTGTGTTCCGATCATACATAAACACAAGTTGAAGACTATAAATGTTTAACAATATCAGAGAGGAAGAGGGGCCAACAGAGGAGATTGAGGAAAAAATGGTCAAAGAACAGTGTGAAAAATAAGATAAGAATCTCAGAAGTCAAAATAAGAGAAGTTTCATTTTAAAGGAGAGTGACTAGAGGAGTCAAATGCTGTGGGGAAGCTAAGAGAGATGAGTACTAAAAATGTCAATGCATTTTGGAGTTAGGAACTGATTTCTAATTTGGTGAGATATAAGTCATAGACTGATGGAGGAAGAAATCCAAGTTAAGGGAATTAGAGAATAAATGAAATGTGAGGAAATGAAGATAAGCCTTCCAAAGAGCTTCACCAGGAAAGGAAGGAGAAAAATATGAGTGTATGAAGAAGGGATAGAGGGTATAGGTGCTCAAAGGAAGTTTCTTATTAGATGAGAGAATTAGGCATATTTATGCTAACTACAGGAAGCAGTTAAGATGAACCATAATTGATGGGCCAGTGGATATAAGAGATGGAAAGTGGAAAGAAAAATAGCTAAATCCATGGACTAGATCCTGTTTCAAATCCTCTATATTTATTCATTTAATTTTCAATCACATTCCTAAGTGTAAGTGTTGGGATTAGTTTTGGACAGAAAGAAAACCTCTTCTACATAATGGAAAAGAGTTTAGTTTAGCTGTGTATGCAAGTATATGTACATGAGCATTTGGGGTTAGAAGAAAGATCAGTAAATTGACATGTTATCTTTTAATATCTGTTTACTGGAAAAAATAGAATGGGAAGTCATCTTTTGGAAGTGAGTAGGGTGAGAAAGTGCACCAGAAGAGTGTGTAGAAAAAAGAACAGGGTTTTAATGGAAACAATTAAGATTTAAATGGCTTCTGATGTTAGTTGGAGAAAATGCAGACTAGGATTACATAAAGGGATTGCCAGGCATTGCTTAGGACCAGGTGCAGGTGGAAAACCATCATCTGAAAATGGTAGCCATCCACATGTATGAGTTCAGCACCCAGAGGCCAGAAGGAAAGACAAATTGAAATGAACCAGAATTCATTTTTTCCAGGCTCAGACCAGCAAATAAGATAAGAGGCAAAGTTTTCAAAAATGAGGAAATGAGATCCTTTAAACTGAATTAAAATTTTGTGATCTAAGAGAGAGGAGGGAGTAAATTAGCATGGAGGTCAATCAAGAGGGAAAAGATGAAGAGAGCAAGGGATGAAAGCACTTTATGAAGTCAAAGAATAGCAATGGTGTTAGACAAGGGGAATGTATTCAGAGACTAGGAGACTGGGATTAGAAATTGGGCTATTAGAGGTATTTCAGAAGTAAATCAGTTCTGGATATATGGCTGTTGACTTCAAGTCAATAAAGAAGAAGTCAACAAGGGGATGGGTGTTGCCGGTGTCATAGACATCACCAGGATGTGACAGGAATTTAATGAAGAGAAACGTCTGTAAGCTGGGTGCCAAATACATCAAGGTAGCATTTCATCTTAACCATATGGTACAGCATTCAAAGACAGGACAGTTTTTCTATGTAAATGGACAAGCAATACGTTAGAATCATAGATTGAAGGCCAGGAGAATGCCTTTGTTTACTCACTGTGTTATTTTGAGTGTCTGGAGGATAACAGGAAAAGGTACATACATATCAACAACTTATAGTTCAAGGATAGGATTTGGGCAACTTATCAATTCAAAATAACACACACTGGTTCTGTAGATTTTTTAAAGTATTTTCCTCCTCCAGGGACCTACAATGTTCTGAGGAATTGGTTCTTAATATTGAACTCTGGCGAGTGCTCCTTCCAATGGTTTGCAGGGAGAAAAAAAAATGAATTAACAAATACAAATTTTTGGTGGGGGAGGGGATTTCTACAGACTTTTATTTATTTTTTCTCTTTTGACTTTAAATTACTTTTTGTTTTTCAATTGCATTTGACATACAATATTTTATTAGTTTCAGATGTACAACCCAGTGATTAGACATTATATAACCTAAAAGATCATCACAATAAATCTCATACCCATCTGACACCATACATGGTTATTACAATATAGACTGTTTAGAATCAAAGGACATATAAAGAGCTTCCCAAATAAGAAGAAACTAAAAGAGTTCATCCCCAACAACCAGTATTAGATGAAATATTAAAGAGAATTCTTTAAGAAGAAGAAGGAAAAAAGATAAAAGATATGAATAATAAAATAACAGTAAGTACATACCTATCAACACCTGAATTTAAAAAACAAAATAAACAAACAAGTAGAACAGAAACAGACTCAAAGATACAGAAGATATTTTGACAGTTGTCAGATGAAAGAGGGTTTGGGGGCAGGTGGGTGAAAAAGGCGGAGAGATTAAGGAGTACAAATTGGTAGTAATAGAATAGTCACAGGGACGTAAAATACAAATGCAAATTCTTTAGAATCAGGATCCTAATTAATTGAAAGGCTGAAAAACACAAGAGACTGGCTGTAGAAAACAGTTCTGCTTACCTGAAGTTTTCTTGTAGACCTGTATGCACACCACCTTCTGTAATCACTCAGTGTGGTAATGAAGAAGCTTCTGTGGATACCACCTTATAGACTCAACCACACTAAACTGGAACTGTCACTGTTTAACATAAATCTCTAAGAAGTTCTAGGTTCCCAAAGAGCAAACTAGAGGAACTTTCCATTGACATGAAATCAGAGACTTTGTGGACTGGAAAGATAGGATAGGTGCTCAATATTGGGAAACTTCTACAATTATAAAACATTTCCCACTGAAGTTTTTAATTTATACACTGTCCTTGTAACAGACTGGCTATTCGAAATCAATAATAATGAGACAATGTTAT